CCCCCCTCCATTTGTGTCATGTAAATATACTGATTCTAATGTATTCTATAGGCTGTTTCCTTTTTTATTTGCTGTCATCTTATGAATTTCAGTGTCTTTTTGAAAAGAAACATGTGCCTTTTGCAGGTGGGGGTGTATGTGGGTGAGCAAGCTTGGATGACAGTGAAGGGTGTGGGGGGCCAGTAATGTATTTTCCATGTGACCTTTGCAAGCTGCTTCATGCAGCTGTAATCAGTTAACATAAAGTTCCTGTTCATGGTGAAGACAAAACCTTAAGTTGTGCTCCAACTATGAATGGCACATTTCCTTTTCTCTGTGGTTGTACTAAAAAAAAAAGTCTCCAATTGGAGTTTTCTGCAAGCTGGTTGTTAAAGCTATTGTCTTCAGTCATCTTGAAAATGACACCCGGGGAGGGTTTTTAATGGAACAGAAGAAGCTGTGTTGAACTTGTGAATGAAACAAACTTCCATAAGGGAAAAGTTAATTTTTTACTGAGTGACATTCCCTGGTTTACATCCGGGATAGTGGTGGATTTTAAAAAAGTTTCAGTAACTGGATATCATATGTACATTTTTTTTAAAATGAATGAAATATTGTTTCAGAAGGAAATAAGTTGCTTGGGTACACCAGCTGGAATCTGAAGAGTAGCTATTCTGTCCAAGCACTTTGCTGCTCTGCTCAGTTTGTTTGGCATGTAGTAAGGTATTGTTCAGGAAGACACAGGCTCAAAGTGTGTTCAGGCTCATAAAAGAATTGGAATGGATCTGTCAGTTCTAGCCATAGACACTTAAGAGACACACTTATGAAATGTCATTTAGTGTGTGGTACAATATATGGCCTAGAATCTGCAACTTGGTCTTCCTCCAGTGTATTAGAGAACAGGTCCTATCACCCCTAGATAAAGTTGCCATTGAGAATGCTGGCCAAGGATGATAGGAGTTGATGCTAGCATGTCTGGTGGGCACTAGTATGGTACATTATAAGGCAATCTTGTTTCATTACATCT